AGCGCGTGCCGTACAGGCAGAACCCGAAGGCCAGGAAGGTCCGGCACAGGGAGGGGCGCCCCCGCTCGGCGCCCTTCTCCGGGGGCCCCTGGGGCTTCCCGTCCGCATGCAGGAAGTGGCAGCGGGCCCCGTACGGGCACACGCCGAAGGCCAGGTAGGTGCGGCAGGGCGCGGTGGCGGCGCGGGGGCGAGCGCCGGGCACGCGCAGCTCCTCGGGGGCGTGCACGAACAGGCAGCGGGCGCCGTACGGGCACACGCCGGCCGTGTGGAAGGCCCGGCACGGCTCCGTCTTGTACTTGGGGTGGCGGGCGGGTACGCGCAGCTCCCGCAGGCCGTGGGCGAACTGGCAGCGCTCGGCGTAGCGGCAGGCGCCGGCCGCGGCGTAGCGGCTGCACAGCTCCGTCTTGTAGCGCAGGTAGCAGGGCCGGGGGGCCGCCGGCGCCGGGGGGGTCTCCACCAGCGGCAGAAGCGCCTCCGCCAGGGACCCCCCGCCCCACAGCGGCGCCCCGCGCCGGAACAGCACGTCCTCGGCTCCCTCGGGGCTGGGCGGCAGCAGCAGGTCCTCACGGGCCTGTCCGGGGAGGAAGAGGGGGACTGAGGAAACGCCATCCACAACTCTTAGCGTAAAGCAGCGTCTGCTGTCCGTGATTACAGCTGGGATCCTGGATCTTGCAGGGAAACGCAAACGCAGTCAGAAATCCAACCTACGTCACGCTTTCGAGGGACAGAGAGCCCAGGGGACGGGATAGCATTTTTTAAAAGAAAACGACGTCATATATATGATGTGCGTACACACACTCAGCGCTGTATTAGCAGTATTACAGTGCGTTTCTCGCTCAAGACGATGCGTCTCACATACCACGGACACGGGTCCGAGTTTCCAGAGCTTGCTCACGGGTGGATTCCTGTGAACAGGAGCTCTCCCACCCACTCCAAAAGGGATTCAGTCACCGGAGAGGTCCGGTACCCGGTTAACGCTACAACAGCTAGGAAAGATGGCACTGGCATTTAAAAAAAAACAAAACATGGAAGAGGTTCTCAAAACTCTATAGTTCGCGATGCTCTATTCATTTAGGCAATACATATCGACTTCCCAGCAGGAATCACCGAGATATTCCATCGCACGGTCACGGGAAAAGACCAACTTACCCACGACTAGCGAAACTGACGCCAAACCGCACCTCCCTGCCTTCCCGTTTCAGATGAACAGCTCTTTAAAAAGTCATGGCCACACAGCAGCGGTGAATTAAAGTAAAGGAAGAGGCAACCGACCTGTTCGCCAAACAGCATTGTAGCGCCAACGACGAGACCTCTCAAGAGCGCCCCAAGGCTGTTGTGATACGGTATCCTGGTAGTACAGTATCCCTTTCCTCTTTCGCAGCCCAGTCGCCAATATCTCACATCATACTTCAAACATTAAAAAAAAAAAGAAAGCGCTCTGAAAGAAGACAGGACGACACTGTCTCCACAAGTATACCTGCTCTCTGCCGCTCCCGCGCTATATTTAAATGTTAACCAGCTGGGCGCTGGCAGACGTCACCCGCCTAATTCGAATGGGCCAATCAGATGACGGCAGCCGGGGAAATGGGGCGGGGCCTCTCCTCCCAGCGGGCCAATCGGTGCCCGGGGAAGGCGTGGCCGGACGCCTGGACAAACGTGGTTGAATTGTCTCACCCCGCTGATCAGCTGATCCTTTCACACACTCACACGGTGAATAAGCATTCAGTGTCACATCGGCACTTCGCCTCTGCCCGAGGTGAGGGGTTAGGTAAAATAGACTTAGTACACAAACGCTTGGACGTGTGGCCCGGAAGGACCAACTGTAAAAGCTCACACCAGGCCGTCCATCTCTGGCGCGATTGGTGGAAAGTTGTGTATTGACGTCTGGGGCACCTCTCGGAGTTGAGCCCACCCAACAACGCGATTAAATACGTGTTACACTGCTGTTTACGCGCTTCCACGACCCTGTCCCCTTTTCACTGGCAGGTGAGTTCGGCCATAACAGAAACGCCTCTGCGCGTGTAGCTTGTGTTTCGATGCGACATCAGAGCAATAATAACAAATTCACGTCTAAAGATGCGAGTTCAAAATAACCGTGCGATGCGACAGTCATGGAACGGGATTTATTAGAATAGTACTTGATTGGTACTGGTAGTAACATAGGTCCTTGAGGTCATAGCACTGTGGTGCTAGAGAAGCCCTCTATTGGATATTGAGCCCCGGCTCTCCTACTTGCTTCGCCACAACGCGATTTAACGCGACTACCTCCGACACCACCGCCCGCCGGTCAGGACACCACCTGCCCACGCAGGGAAATGGCCTGTGGACGAGGAGGGAGTCGCCGTTAACCCGAGCCACGGGATCCTGCGTGTCGTGAGTCTCTTTACTCACGTTGAACTCTGCTGCTCAGTCGGTCATCCGCCTCAGACGTCATACCGCGATTCCTAAAGAGATGTTAACACGACTAGAACCCTGTATTCGTTGTGTGTTTGGTGGAAGTACAACGCTTAAGACTTTATATAGCGCCTTTCCCGATCAAATTTAATTGAAATCTCCTTGAAACGAAACAGAAATGCGAAGCCACACATTCAAGCAAAGCCAAATAAGATGAACAATGAAAGCTACAAAGAACAGTTAATTAATGAGTAGAGCTTTTTCAAAACGCGATTTAAAAGCTGGAACTCGGGTCTCGAATTCATCAGAAGATCTTGGAACAAAGCGAAAGGTAGCACCTGGGTCAGCTGTTTGACCGGGGCCCTGGGTTCAATTCCGGGGCTAGGCTGCTGTCTGTGTGGAGTTTGCATGTCCCCCCCCAGTTAACATGCGGTTCCTACAGGTTCTCTGGTTTCCTCCCACAGACGTGCTGGTAGATAAGTTGGTTTCTGTGTCCTGGTGTCAGTGTGTGTGTGTGCTCTGAGAGGGACCGACGTCCTGCCCGGGGCGTAGCCCGCCTTGCGCCCCTTGTTTGCTGGGGATAGGCTCCCATGTGACCCTGCACTGAATCAACCGGAAGTCTGGGCTTTGCCCCACCCACCCCAAACCTTAAAGACACCCCCGAGAACAAAACACCCCACCAATCAAGAAAAAAGATTTATTTCAATTTCAATTCCAGATACATTAATAGGTTACAGACATCCGAATAAAAAACACTTCAGAAAAAAGTTAAGAACTGTAGCATATTTCTCTTCAACGTACAAAATCCTGCCCCCCTCCCTTCTCCAACTCGGCCCCCCCATCGCAAAAAAATATCCCCTTCCTCCCTTCCCTAACGAAGCACAAATGAACACATGTACAGAAAATAAAACATCTCTCCGCTAAACCAGGAGATATTACAAGCTTCAGTTTTATAAAATATTCTCATTTTTTTTTATTGAAGAGTCTCAAAAGTCTTCTATTGCTGGGCTTTTAATTTTAAATTAACTTTTTACAGCACACAAAGAAAAAACCGCCGGTGGCTTGCCAACCCCTCAACCTCTCGAAGATCTCCCGCCTAGAAAACTGGGTTTTTAAAC